GAGAATTACATAATAAATGAGATCTCATACTTTATTTCACTTTATTTTAAAGAGGAAGTTGAGATAAGAGATGATCGCATCCCCAGGAATCTTGTTGGCCTAGGCCATTTTGTTAATATTGGCCTTTTAATATTCAATAATTCTGGAAAACCAATTGGTTCTCTACAACAACAATGAGTGTTGACAATGAAGGAGCATAATGCTACAATATATTATGTTCTAATGAATTGTGAAGAATTAAAGGGATGGACTAAGTGAGTGCATTTCCCTAATCTTTATCCTTAATGATATTTGAGAAATTAAATGATCTGTTTTAATTTACACATAATTATAATAGATGCTTGATTAGGGTTTTCGAAGAGGAAGAATGTCAAAAGATGACTCCCCAATAAATATAGACGAAATGTTCCAAGAATGTCATGGTTTGAAAAATTGGTAAGTTTAATGCTAAATTTTAATTATTGTTAATTAATTATTATATACTTGTAACTAATAAAATAACTCATGTGATATAGATTTTACGTGATGAGTTTGAAGGCATTGATGAGCATTTGATTGGTTTGGCTCGTGACCTTTCTTAGATGTTTCATATTATAAAGGCTTTTAGGTAATTGATTTTCGATTTTACACTACTTCACATGGAAAAAACAAGAAAATAATGAATAACGGTGTGTGTGTCATGAGAACAATAGGAATATAATTAGATTTGGATTCTTATGGGTTGTTGTAGGAGATAATTGAGCTTCAATATGTTGGCTCTAGACAGCGATAGACGATTGTTCTATTTACATGTGATTGGTATGAAATTCCTCTTGCATGAGGAATTGTGGTTGGCTGAAACATCATCTTGTTGATATTAATCCAAATAGAAAAATAATAACTTATAAGCCTTTCATCTTGGCTAGTCAAGCTAAATAGGTGTATTACACTCCATATCCATCACATAATTCTATTAGGAAGGAATGGGTTGTTGCATTGAAATTTAGGGCAAAAAGTATTATTGAGATACTAGATGAGCAAGAGGACCAACATGATGATCCAGAACCCATTTTTCAAGATGATGACCCTTTAGCTCCCTAACTGACCGAGTTAGATCTCATATTATATGAACTTATTTAGTATATTGATGGGACTGTATCTACCATTAGTGTAGAGTTTGAAGATGTGGATGATGATAGAGAATTTGAGGAAAAGAATAAGGAGGAGGAAGAGGATAAGAAGGAGGAAGAGGATAAGAGAGAGGAAGAATTTGAAGATTATTCTATGTTTGAGGAAGAAAATATTGAATACATTTTTTAGAGTGATAATAGTAATTAATTAATTAGTAATGTAAACCCAACTAGTTACCCCAAAGGGGTGGTGAATTGGGTCTTATCAATTTACTCCAAAGCTTGTTTCTTTTCCTTTTAAAACTTGAATCAAATTTCCAATATATAAGCTGTTGTGCAAAATAAACAAAGATTAACTGTAATCTTGCAAATAAAGTGCAGAAAAATAGAAAGAAAGGGAAGAGAATATCAAGATGTGATTTGTAATGGTTCCTCCAACCCGGAGTACATCTACTCCGCAAACCACCTTACTCGAGAATTCAATCCACTAAGATTCTCTTGCTTACGGTGCAAGATTAAACTCCCACAAGTGAATCTCAACAACTCACTCAACCCTTTCAAGGAGTATCCCAATCCAAGAAGAATACAAAACCCTTGTAAGACAATTAACCCAACAGCTCATAAGAAAAAGAAAAAGATTCAGAATAGTTTCTATTTCAAACTCTACTTTTCTGTCTTCCTCACTTAAGTCTGTTCAGTGGTTAGTCTTAGATCTAATTTTTTTATACTCTTTAATAGTTGGTTGGGAGCTTTTGCACTTAAAACCTATTTTGCCCTTCAAAGCCACCTCACAATTACTCCAATCAGATTTCACCCTTTTTCTACTTCCTATAATAGACTCTGACTTGTCTTGGAATATGCTTAGTCATTTGGATCCCTCTAAGGCCCATTAAGACAAAATAGATAATTGAACAACCAAGGTGTACCTTTCATAATTTTGCTTCAAAGCTAGAAATATTGATTTGAATTGTTGTCAGAAAAACTAAACTACAGGATTGGTTCGACTCAATTGGAATTGGTTCGAACCCAGAACTCTAGACAAGGAGGACATGATTTAATTCTAATCATGGGGAAAGATTAGAATCCTTGAATTAGCTTTCCTACATAGTTAGCCCAAAAATAGGTTAAACTCTTTAAATCATGGTTTTAAATCATCATCAAAATACAAAGAGAACCTAACAAGTAACATATATAGACTGTGTTATTATTTAGTAATGTATGTATGTGATATTTTATAACACACCGGGTGATATGTAAATAGCTTGACATAAAAGAGAACTTAGTGTGTGATGTTTAGTAATATGTATAAATATTGTTTTTAAATTTCATGTTTGATTCAATTTTTTTTTTTCTAAATTTAAATCCAATGCATTTTTTTCAATCATAAAGTAATGTAGCATTATTTCTTAATTTCTTTTACAGTGAATTGCATACTTGGAGCTTATAGGGGTGACAAGGCTGTTGATGTTGCCACCCAAAGGCTTATAAGGAATAATCAATCATAGGCAAATGGGTCTTTGAGTACCATTGTCAAGGAGATCCCAAGGGAGACATGTAGTAATGGTAGTGATACTGACTCTATTGCACCCTCGCCTCCTCAACCCAAAAAGGGGTGAGGTATTGCAAAAGGTCAAAATTTGCCAGAGGATCCTTCCCAAAGTTGAGCATTGGGAATTGGGATGGGAAAACATTACCCAAACAAGTTCAAAAGGATATTTTAATCATCTTTAAGTCAAATATGCATGATGCATACATAGGGTGGGGCTTAATTTCTCATGAGCACAAGGAAGTGTACTAGCAAGCTGTTCGAGTTTGTAGTTTTATTGAATAATTATAATGACTTGTTTTTATTTATGTATGTGCATTTTCTTATAGGAATCAATTAATAGATGAATATATGATACCTATATATATTTTTTCAAAATATATACAAGTGGGACCTTATTGAGGAGGGTGTTGTACTTATAGCATTTCTACACGTTTATGAAAAATAATATAATCAGATGATGATTGATGTCCAAGCTTCATGTGAAAGAAGAATTTTTATGGAAAAAAAGCTATACATGTTTGATGAGGTTTGGGAGAAGCTAAAGTACATATGGATGAAGGACCCACAATTCAATGTGTGTAGAGAGTAAGCAAAGCTAAATTGAGCAAAGGGCCCAAGGGTAATCCACATAGTAGGATCTATGGATTACAATGACTTTGTGCAAAAAATTGGTAGAAATTTTACTTTTATATGATAATTTATATAATAATCTTAATGTTAATTATAATGTTTGTGTGAATTAACACAATAATTGAATATGTGGTATTGTAAAAGGAAAAAGATCCTAAATATAGGGATCCATCATTTGTTAATGTGATCCATGCAAAGAAAATACACCATCCAAACGACAAAGATAAAAAGCCAACATATATTGATGAGCAGACTTAGAGTATACTATAACTATTCTTTCTTTACCATTATTATTTCCTGAGAGGTTCATTTATGTGATATTTTCTTTCATTTTTATTCATATCAAAAAATCAACTAAAATTAAGGATAACCTATTAATTGGCTATTTGGGACAACTTGAATTGTCCTCTATTTACTCATTTAAGTGAAATTAGATTGCATTTAATTTTATTGAATATGATAGCTGGAAATATATATATGGTTAAATGTATTTTTATACTTTGTT